TTTTTTTTTTTTGTAAAGGTCCATTTAGCTTCCTTTTCTTATATTTCCTATGTATGGTGACTTTAGGGATGACTTTGAGGACCATTTGTGGATTTCTACAAAAATATCTTTGTAGGGCCACAATCAGCCATTTTATCTCTGTCTTTCAGTTATCCTAATATATTTAGACCTAAAACTGACTGAGAGACTATAGGGCTCAGGAACCCAACTTTAATTACAGATGTACATTGCATTGAGTACACCTGAGAATTTTCACTTTCTCATTTTTATTTTTCCCTAATTCCCATGAATGTGCAGAGGGCACATAACCATGTTTCCAAGAAGTTCCAAATTCTGAATCCAGGTCCTGCCTCAGACACGGCTGCTTTCTCTAGCCTCTGGAAACTTTGAGGGGCCAGCAGACAATGCCAAGTTTAAAGATTATGATTTTTGGTCTTACTTGAACCAAAGGTATTTGTGTTGTTAAAAAGTGTTGAGCAGAAGGGACTCTGTGCTGTGTTTCCTTTCTCCAGCTGAGTGCTGCTCTAGTCTAGGAGGAGTAATATATGAAATTATTAAGCCACTTCATAGACGCACTTAAAACCTGTGAAATTGGCAGCACCATGTAGCTCAGTGAGTCTGGCACTGGCACCTGAGGTCATGCCACATACACCTGGCTGGCATGTTTGAACTTGTCTTGGACCAGCTAAACAACAATGATAACTGCAACTGTTAACAACAACAGCAACAGAAAATGTAGCTGGGAGTTGTGCCGGGCACCTGTAGTCTCAGCTACTTGGGACGCTGAGGCTAGAGAATCACTTAAGCTCAAGAGTTTGAGGTTGCTGTGAGCTGTGATGCTATAGCACTCTACTGAGGGCGACATAGTGAGACTGTCTCAGAAAGAAAAAAAGAAAAATAGTAAAATGAGGAGATGGCAGACTAATGTTGCAAGGACCACCTCATGTTCCTTAGCTGGGCGATGAAAGGGATAAGGAGCTTGGGAGAAGTATGTGTAGGAGCTTTCTATGTGTAGGTCAGCCTGTCTTGTTGCAATGGTTTCTTGCCATCTGGCTGTCTGGCTGACATCAAGTAGACCACAACAGAAATGGTGGCTAACTGCTCAGCATTTTCCTTTGTGGGGAATTCTGCAATCTTAATTCTATAGTTAATGGCCCAAAAAGAAAAATGAGAAAGTAGAGATCCTCAGGTGCACTCAATGTACAGAAATTCATAAGTAAGGACATACATAGCCATTATAATAAAAAAATGGTTATTGGCTTCAAGACAGGGTAACTTCTGCTATTTTAGGATCACATACTTAAAGTGGCCAAGAATACCAAATAGTTTGTGTGCATATTAAAGCCTGAGAGGCAATGCTTAGCTAAGTGGTTCTCTGCTCAGGCTTCCTGTTAGGGTTCCACAGCCAGGTTGATGAAGTCCCATCAACTGTGATTCTGCCTTCCCAAAGATTGTAATAGTCTCTGTTGTGTAATCTGTGTGGTTTTAATTGTCACCATGTGATGCTTAGGTTAGGCTGATGTCAAGCATGAGGGCTTCCAGATACATTTATTTATTTATTAATTTATTCATTAATTTCTTTCTTTATTTTTTGAGACAGAGTCTTACTATGTTGCCCTTTGTAGAGTGCCGTAGCGGCACAGCTTACAGCAACCTCAAACTCTGTGCTTAAGCGATTCTCTTGCCTCAGCCTCCCAAGTAGCTGGGAGTTCAGGCACCCACCACAATGCCCAGATATTTTTTTGTTGCACTTGTTATTGTTGTTTAGCAGGCTCGTCTTGGATTCGAACCTGCCACCCTTAGTGTAACATC